TGGGTAATTCAACCTTCAAGTCCCAACCCTACACTGATTCCATAGGAAGCAGCATTGTTGAACATGCAGTTACCACAAGAACGACAGACCAAAAACCTTATTTGTTTGGTTTAAACAAATATTTCTTGTTTTTGATGCTGAGCTCAGCATAATCTCACCACTGAGATCGTCTGACACAGGTGTTTGTCCTGCCAATTAAAGACTTATTCCTAGTAGCAAAACACATTTAATTGGCTGCACATGCCAGACCAATTAAACCACAATTAGCAGCTGCTAGAAGTGAATGCACAAATGTGCTCTAATTAACCTTTCAAAGCAAAACGTGAAAACATTTATTTTCCTGAAAATCATTGTTTTGGCGTAATTTTTATAACAAAGCAAACCACTCTAGTGTCAACTCTAATAATAGGTCATAGAGTGCGAGCACAAAAGCTGTTGAGATGCATTCAGTAAAAAGAATATTAAAAAACTTAACCTCCATACAACTTAATACCTGTTCCAAATTGATTTTCAAGCTTTATGTAAACAATATTCTGGTACAAAAAAATAAGGTGCGATTCACATGGTCAGGGTGTTTATTTTGATTCGAACATACTGTGTGCAGCAGATCTGGCCTGCAGAGACTTTGTCAAGGGCTCTACTGAGAGTTTGAAGACATTTGTAGTACAGCGAAGAGACTGTGGGGATTTACAGTTTATCTCAGACAGAAAAGCAAAGCCACCAAACATGGTCTCCAAGGAGTCTTTCGTTACCATGGCACTCTGTTGCCTTGGGGACAATGGAACCTATACCTTCAGAAGCTAAACTGTAATATTTTATGATACTTTAACAATAGCTGTTCCATCCAACTATTTTCATGTGCATTTTGGGATATCGCATAAAAAAACCACAGGATGGAAACACCAAGATGCACATCAATTTTAAAAATGCACATTAAAAACTTACGCGCTCAACTAAGTCTGATCAATTTCTGTTTTCTCAGTAAGAAAACATTTTGCTGAATAAATTCCTTAATGTGGATCAAAAAAAGATGTGACTTTGCAATGGGACAGCATAAAACTGGACCAACCAACAGACCAATCTCATTGCACAGCATCTGAAGTGCTAGTTTTGTCATTCTAAAATGCTTGAGCAAAGTCTCGTCAAAGTACTTCGTTATAATTAACTCCCAGAACATTGGAGTTTGCATTCCCAAACATCAGGCTATGAAAATAAGATAACATGACCTCATTTCGCCTGCACGCTCTGCAGCTCATAATTTATTGTATACAAAAATTATTATATACAGTGCCTTCTCCTACTGCAGCAAATAAAAAAAAATTTCTTTGTGATATTTAGCGCAAGTTCAGGAAATGAAGATTATGTTTTCTTCAACTCACTGGATGGAAACAGTGCTTTATTTGCAGTTGTTTTATTCGATATTCCAATTTTGCGCATAATGTTAATTTGTAACTTTGTATGGAAACATAGCTATTGTGTGCAGAGTTTGAGAATGTTACATAAATGAACATGTAAATCAGCAAATATGCAGCGGAAAATGAGGCTCTGAAACCAAACACAAAATTGATAAGACACAGAATAAGAGATAGCGCCAACAAAAATGAAAAATGTGTCATTTACTCAACATCATGTTGTTCCAAATCCACACCAAAGAAATTCATACAGGTTTGGAATGGCATGATGGTGAGTAAATTATGCCAGAACCTTCATTTTGGGTGAACAATCCCTTTAAGTAAACAAGTAGCTCGTGAGAATGTTTTTCCTTCATTTACGCACATTTACAACAGTTCTGTTGAAGACAGTCCAGTGAAAATAGTTTTGGGTAAATGTGAGCCATATGGATAAATGTGACTAATGACTTAATTTCATCTCATTCATCTCCTGCAGAGCCGCTCAGCTCTACACCTCGCTAACTCGGCTCTCCAGGAGCTCATCTTCCTCAACCTAGACACCCACCACCCTCCTGGACACAGAGAGACACTGTGGGCCCAGGCCTCCTGCTGAGCAGGAGGAGAGACAAGGCCTCAGCTTAGTGGCCATTAGAGATTCATGATTAATGGCGCTGTATGGTTCCATCGCTATGACGACTCAAGTGAGAATAATGATCCAATGCGATTTCAGTGAAGCAGCTGATTGAAAGTTTGAAAGTTAGATGGTGTTTTTAATGGAAGTCAGTTTGATAGCTGGAGATCCAATCAAAAATCAAATGAATGATGTCAAAAAGACAACTTTAAAGAAAATGTCTATTATTTAAAGTGATAGTTCACCCAAAAATGAAAATTCTGTCAAAAATTACTCAAGCTCATGACAATTCAAAAAGACCTTCGCTCATCTTCCGAACACAAATTAAGATGCATCGTGGACATGGTACTGTCATGGATATATATCAAAGACTGACATGGAAGAGAAGAAATTGTCATTCGTTTTTATTTATTTGCACACAAAAAGTATTCTCGTAGCTTCATAAAATTAAGGTCAAACTACTGATGACACATGGACTATTATAACAATTTCCTTACTACCTTTCTGGGCCTTAAACGTGGTAGTTGCATTGCTGTATGCAGGGTAAGAAAGCTCTCGGATTTCATCAAAAATATCTTCATTTGAGTTCCGAAGACGAACGAAGGTCTTATGGGTTTGGAACGATGACATGAGTAATTAAACACAGAATCTTCATTTTTGGGTAAACTATCTCTTTAAATTTCTGAGAAGCATATGCTGGTTTTGTTCTGTTGTGTCACAAATCTCTGTTGCTGCTTTTTAAATCGTTTTCATCACCATGGCAACCAAAATGCAATTCTAATCTAGCATTCAAACTCTGAGAGCAAGAAAAGACAGATTTAGAGACACGCTTATAGATGAACAAAAGCACTTTGTTCAGACCCTCAGTCCAAATGCATATCATATTTGCTCATATTTATTACGTATGAACGACAAATAAATAAAATAATGTGAAATATGATTTTTACAAATCTGTTTCAAGCCACATTCATATGTGGTTGGAAATCCGTTTCAGTCTGACTGCTATGAATCGTCATTTTCTCACGCCATGTGCAACCAAAACATGTCAGACGTTGTTGTATGAAACATACTGAAAGCTGGTGCAGGAACAATGTTGTGTTGTTGCGAAGTGCAGGTCGAGGGGAAAATTACGGTATACTGCTAGTCAGCCTGGTTTACACTCTTCTTCGAAGTTTAAAACCAACTGAGATGGCAGCACTGAATAAAGCCATGCCAACATCTGTATTGCAAACCCCGCCACAGGATACACTAATCTAATCTTAACAGTTGCATCATACAGAGTGGATAGTAGGGCTGTCAAAATGGCTGAAAAACTAAATTCGAATTTTGTGCTTAAATATTATCAAAATTTGAATTATATTCGAATTTAAAATACATCATTTCAGTTAGGGTAAAGAAAAGCTTTTGGCTTCTCTCCTGAGGCCACAAGAGGGCGCATCGAGCATAAGATAACATGACTATCCGTGAAAAAAAAAAGTGCATAATGTTTAAAATAATGTTTATAAACCAATTATAATTAATTAAGTTGTTTAAACAACTATAAACAAATACAAATGCATAGTTTAATACAAAGGGCCGAAAACCAAGTTTTTCGGAGACAAGACCAAGACAAACCAACCTGTTGCAGTCAGATGGGGAAAAACCCGCCATAAAGTTTCGAGATATGTTTTTTCAAAGTTGACCTTGCATTAATTTTACATGGCTTTCTAAACATGCTCATGCTCTTGTGCGAGACGCGAGTGCAACGGTGATTGATGTCCCTCTAGAAAATGCGCGAAATGTGCGTTCTGTGTGAACGGCTTGGTTTCATTTTTGACGTAAACAAGATCTTCTCCGCATTGATGTTCTCTTTTCCCGCAATATTTGTAATTAAAGGGGTCATAATGATGCGATTTCAATTTTTCCTTTCTCTTTGGAGTGTTACAAGCTCTTGGAGCATAAAGAAGTTGCAAAGACTAAAGTCTCAAATCCAAAGAGATATTCTTTATAAAAGTTTAAAGTCAGCCACACCTACCTAAAACGGCTCGTTCTAACACGCCCCCACCTATCTACGTCACTATGTGGGAAGATTTGCATAACGCTGCCCATTGCCACTGATGATTCAAATGCGAGTTTTGGGCAGTGTAGAGTAGCACTTGTTGTTTGTCATTTCTCCGATCACAAATGTAGACAGAGTTTAATGTTTACGCGGCGCGATGCAATGCAACGCAACGCTTAAAAAGACAGTATAAGTCATTATAATCAGTAATTATGTCCCCACTGGATGCAACAAATGCCTCGTTTGTAATGGGTTTTAATGTTTTTGTCTCGTCGCTCCAGCCGGACACGGCATCAACAGTATGTGAGGGGCGTAACATTTCCGTCTCACGCTTGAGGTATTTGGCCAATCACAACGCATTGGATAGCTGGCCAATCACAGCACACCTCGCTTTTTCAGACCAATGAGCTTTGTAAAAATCGATGCGTTTCAAAAAGGCAGGGCATAGAGGAGAAACAATAATGTACAGTATGTGGAAAATAATGTGTTTTTTTAACTTTAAACCGCATAAACACATTTCATTACACCAAATACACAAAATAATGTTCTTTTTACCGGCATCATATGACCCCTTTAACAATGCAGCAGCGCCGCATCTAGTGGCTTCAACTGGATAGGCTAACAAAAACATTAAAATGCAATGACACTTACATCGTCATTGCATCTCGTGAGCTACTGATAGGGCTGCCTCCTTAACGCACACCTAAAATTTGAATGCAATGTTTTTGCATTTGAAAGTGGATTTTTATTTTAAATTTGACGAATATTCAAAATTCAAAAATTTTTTGACAGCCCTAGTGGATAGTCAATAATTTAAAACAGATTCCAATTGGATACACAAATAATCGGCATTGGAATGGCAGGGTGAACAAAGCTGAAGTTCATAGAATGTATTAATTAGCCTAGCGAATTTAAAAAACGAACCCAGTATAGCGATGACCTCGTCATCCTGGATGACCTCCAGTGACCCTGACACAACGAAGCAGAGCAGGTCCACGATTTCACCCGCATGAAAGATGAGGTCACCGGGGGCGGAGTGTATCATCTGGAACTCCACGGCCAATGAGCGCAAGCATCCATCACTGGCCAATCGGAACGCTGGATGCTCGTTGAACACCTTCCTGTTCAGGTGCACGCAGATGTCTGCCCGCATGTCCTTGGGGCAGATGGAGAGCACCTGTGCACAGGTAAATTTGCAATTTAGTATTTTCCACAATTAATATCAAAAACTTCAATCATGCAACCATCACATCTGTTTCAGTTTCACCTTCTCTGTGTCGATGCCTTTGGACATGGACCACGTGGAGACGATGTAGTCCATCACTCTCTCACTGAGGCCTTTGGGCACCTGGTAGAGCTTGAGGAAATCCCGCACGTTATTCAGAATTTCATGGTAACGGTTGGTGTTTGCATACATCTGCTGGAAAATGGTCGTCACATTACCGAAGATAGTGGCATAAAGGAGAGCTACAGGACATGAAGAGAGAGAGAAAAAAGGGGTCATGTAAGACAGATTTGAAATGTTACTTTTTTAGGGTCTGAATATGTGGCTGACTAAAGTACTTAACTATTAAATCAGTCCTTCAATCATTTAACAAAAAAAAAGTATTAAAAAAAATCTAAAGTTGTACTAAAATTTTAGGCATTTAAATAAAGTGTTAAATTTGCAAATATAGCTTTGAGGGTCTGAATATGTGGCTGACTAAAGTACTTAACTATTAAATCAGTCCTTCAATCATTTAACAAAAAAAAGTATTAAAAAAAATCTAAAGTTGTACTAAAATTTTAGGCATTTAAATAAAGTGTTAAATTTGCAAATATAGCTTTAGACTATAGTACTTAAATATTTATTTAACATGTTAAATTTAGCAACATATTTTATATTAATTGCAATACATATTAATTGTTTAAAATGTACTTTAACAAAGCTAAACCTTAATTTAAATAATTTCTTTTCATTACAAAAATGGTTATATAAATAATTTTCAAATTACCTAATGGACAAATCATGTATTTTCAAACCCAAAAGAGCTTGTAAAAATGAAAGTCACTGGATGCCACGTGGAAAACATTTTTTAAGAACTGAAAATAATTTTAATGGGGTAAGAGAACAAGTACAAACAATAATGTTGTTTTTCTTTTTTTTTTAGTATTTATAAATATAAACTTTTACAGTAGGCTATCTGGTAACACTTAACTTAAAGCCTTTATGTAAAATGCATGATAAAAGTAGTTTTAATGCATTAATTATGCCTTGTAATACATATTATAATGCATTGAACATTTAATATAGTACATTATAACAATTATCAATTCATTGTTACACTATTCAGTTATAATTATTTACGCCAAAATATAATGTATTACAATGCACATTATTAATAATTATAATGCATTATACCCTTTAATAACCCTTTATAGTGCATTATAAATAAAGGCTTTAAGTAAAGTGTTACCGGATATCTTTTATAAGAAAAATGAAAAATGAGTACATGTACAATGCAAACTTCTGGTACTGTTTTTATAGCTTTTCTCATGAGTTACCACAGTATCTTTGCTCCTCGTCTCTATGGCAACCTTCCCTGAAATAGCTTTCCAAATACTTCCACTCATAACCAATAAGGGAAGAGCGGGAACAGAGAAGAAAGCAAAGTGGATGGAATATGATAAGATAAAAACGGATGATGAAAAGCCAACGAAATGACCAAGAATTTGTACAGTAAGAAAAATGATTCTGATCACAGAAAGGAAAAGAGGACCAAGAGTTAAGGAGAGGAGAAGACACAGATAGAGAGAAACGGGGACAACAAGAGTGAGTCGGGAGGATGAAGAGAATGAGTTAGGATGATGGAGGATTTCTTCTATTTCTGATTCTTATTTTGGATATCAGCCATCTGACTCACCTGTACTGAGAGAAAGTAATTAGAGTCAAAGAGACCAGACACACATCTGCAAACAAAATATTAACCTCATAAACACACCAAAGTGTGTGTCAGTCATTTAAAAAAGAAAGAACTTTTACTTTACGTTCTGATTTTACTGAAATACTGTGGCTCTGTTCATGCTGTAAACAGATTAAACGTCCATGTATGATGTTTTAAATAGGCTGCAAATTAGACTGAAAGCATCAAAACATCTTCAGTCGTAAACAAATCACTCTTTTTGTCATACCGGGATCAATATGATTTGAGAAACAAAAATGATCTGTGAGGCAATTAACCTCCATGCAAGCTGTGAATCAGTTGTTATGAATCAGTTATGTGGAAAAAAAATATTTAAACTACTTTATATAACTGCACTGAACTGACCTAAGCAACATTTTTGGTACAGAATTTTTAAATTAGAGATGCCATTAAAACATATCTTAACACTTAATATTCTTGCACAAGAAATGCAAAAAAGGTCAAAAGGTCTTTAAAAGGATGGTTCACCCAAAAATGAAAATTACTCCATGATTTACTCATCCTCAAGTTATCCAAGGTGTATATGACTTCCTTCTTTCAGTCGAATACAATCGGAGTTATATTAAAAAATGTCCTTGCTCTTCCAAGCTTACTTACCTAGATTTACAGTCTAGGTTTATCTGGCATGTGTAAGTAAAATACAACTATATTCTACCCTACATATCACCCAGTGAGATTTTAAGCTTTTTATCCAGGTGTAACTTCAGGGCAGATATGGAGAAAGTTGTAGAGCACATGGCATGGATGGTGCATGAGGGAGAGTCTCAGGGGAACCTGTACAAACTACCACATAATGAGGCCTTCTAGGACCTCACTACCACAGAGACAGACACACAGACAGACAGAGAGATGTGGGCAAGACAGGAATAAAGACAGAGTAAGACAGAAGATTCGGATCTTTAGTGAAACATGGAAACAAAAGAGAAAAGATCTTGACTGAAGGATCAGTAGATGAAAACAATGTGTTCAGATAATTACAGAGAGGGAAAGAGAGAATGGGACTGCACTGTGTATGAGCCTCATCAAAGAGTCATCAGAACAGCTAACTACAATTATTATTTTCATTAATTGTGTACTGCTGTTTTATTGTGCGTGTGTGATCATCTCCCCTTGATCAAACCAAAGTGTTCTGAAGACAAAATCACAAGTAGATCAAGAGCCTTGTTAAGGGACTTTGACTGAAAACAACCTTGTTTCTGGCCTTACACTTTGGCATAAATTGTGACAGCATACCACTGGGGTGGTACCAATACCTTTAAGGTACTAAAATGCACCCTTTAAAGATAAATAAGGTACAAACTTTAGTATACCCTTTAAAAGGGTATTGCCCCAGTGACAGCTTTTGCACTTTTTTTTTTAAAGTCTGGCCTTAATAATGTCATTAGACACATGGGAGAATCCCTTTTGCTTAGTGATATTCTGGTCACACTGATTGAAGAGCCCTACAATTCATGCATCAGTACCCACAACAGCATCAACAGAGCTCATTTGAGCATCCTCTTAAAGGTTCATAATGACCCATTAGTCTAATAAGCATTTAAAAAGGACTCCTCCACCAGTGTGATGTCAGGTTAAAGAGTATTACAGGTCAGGGAAACCGTTGGCTGGGTCAAAAGCAAGAAAATGCCTTTTGATTCACAGATCTAATGGGGGTATTTTTACAAAAAGGCAAAGGAAATGAACATGAGTTGGAGCAAAAATGGCAACTAAAACAGGCAATAACACAAAAAATTATGTCAAAAGGCAAAATCTCTTGCACTCACCATTTATTTGATCAAAAACACACACACACACACACACACACACACACACATATATATATATATATATATATATATAGTGTATAAAGACACCAGTCTTTAGTGTCACCTGATCCTTTGGAAATCATTCTAATATGCTGATTTGCTGCTAAAGAAAAATGATTAGTAATATAAATGTATATACAAATTTTAAAGGATTTATTTTCACTCTTGATCATTTTAACACATTTTTGCTAAATAAAAGCATTCATTTATTTAAAAAAATCCTTTAACTGTTTTGTAATATTGTAAAGAAAAATAAATTAATGAAAAGAAATATATAAAAATAACCATATATCTCAACATCAAGGTCATAGTTTTGAGTTCTAGGGAATGTATATATTTGGCATTTGAACCTGGGTTTTCCTGCACACTAAAGAAATACTGTAAACTTAAAAAAGTATCCTTAAAAACATGGATGAGGCCCCTGAGAGTCAGTTCATGGGGGTCAGTGGGGTTTCTATATGTGTGTTTGTGCAGGTCAGCACCCATACATGCTGGTAATTATGATCGCATCTTTGTTTAGTCTCCAGAGTGACTCCTCACCACATGCACGGATCTGGAAAAGGACATTAACAACCATTGGCCTCGTTCCTTTATTCTGGCCAGTTATATGTCCCTCTCTCCACCGATCTCTCTCTATTACTGTCTCAGAGTTATTTCTGAAGGAGATGCACTAGAAGCAATGCACTGCTGTCTGGAGGACAGAGGGGCAAGATGAGATTAGTCTGAGTTATTCTGACAGAGGAGAGAATAAACAGAAAAAAAGAGTAAAGAAGCAAGAAAGTAACAGAAAAGAGACCCCGTTTAACCTTGTATTAAGATTTACTTTGGCTGATTCGATTTCCCAAATGAAAATGACAGTATCTACCTTGATCATCTATGATCAGATCACTTAGCCAAGACAGGTCTAAAAAATAAGACATGAAAGAAGACAAGCACTCACATCCGACCATCATCATGGCCACAGAGAAGATCTTCTCTCCGTCTGTAGTTGGCGCGATGTTTCCGAAGCCAATAGTGGTTAGGCTGGTCATGGTGAAATATAGTGACGTTATATACAGAGAGTCTTTCCCAGGGCCACCCTCCCATTGGCCAGTCCCACTGGCATTGTACCGGTACGGGGATCCAATGCTGGTGGCTAACTGGTAGAGCCAGCTGTCAGTCTTGATGGTGTTGGTTTGTTCATTAATGACCTCGTAATCTCCAATGCTGTACCATATGCAGGCAAGCCAGTGGGCAACCAATCCAAACACACAGACCAGTAACACGAGCACAGCTGCACCGTACTCCAGATAGTGGTCCAGTTTACGTGCAACACGACCCAATCGAAGCAGTCGAACCACCTTCAGAGAACTGAACAAGCTGCTGATGCCCTGGAAAAGAGAAAAATAAATAACAGACAGTCACATTTAGTATAAATATAATATGTTTTACCTATATGTCTTACCTTTACATATCTGTTACATTATGTAAAATTATACCTGTTGTAAATAATATACTGTATAAAACATCAGCAGATTTCCAGCATTTTATATATATATATATATATATTAGTGCTGTCAAACTATTAATCACGATTAATCGCATCCAAAATTAAAGTTTTTGTTTACTCAATATATGTGTGTGTACTGTGCATATTTATTATGTATATATAAAGACATACACATACAGTATTTATTTAGAAAATATTTACATGTATTTACATGTATATATTTATATTCAGATAATTTATATTATATATAAATATATTTAATATATAAACATTACATATTTTTCTTAAATATATACATGCATATATTTGTATTTATATATACATAATAAATATGCACAGTACACACACATATATTATGTGAACAAAAACTTTTATTTTGGATGCGGTTAATCGCGATTAATCATTTGACAGCACTAATATATAT